ATATGTACTTATATGGTTATTTAACTATGGGTTTTATCATAAGATTTTAGCCTTTGTGTGATAGATGCTTGAGTCCGTTAGGTGGCACCACAGTCGATTAAGTATAGTTAAGTGAGTGTTTAAAGACATTAAGATTCTTATGTGATCTCATCAGAAAAGTGGATTAAATTATTTTTAATGTAATAGTTACGATTACGAAAACATTTTGAAATCTTTATGGATAAAGAATTCTTATTTATAGATAAAATTAAGTATGTCTTTTAATAAAAAATTTAAGTATTTTATTCACTATTAATTTTACAATAAAAAAATTCTTAAAAATTTAAGCATCACTACGCAAATCATCCATCCACAAATCAAATCAATCAGTCAAAAATAAAATATATATATTGTTTATTATTTGTTATATTTCCTTTGTTTAAATAAAATAAAAATATATAATAAATTTCTGTTAAAAAAATTCCAAAAAATATAAATAATAAAAAATCGACCAGAAAAAAATGCTTACCACACAGACAACCACAGTATACTGTAAAGATAAAAAACATGAAAAATATATTAAAAACACAGTCCAACAAACAGTTTATGCACTTGAAGAAAATATGTTGTATAAAGAACAAAAACAGATCCTTGTTCTTCCAATGTAGAATTATTTCCTTGACACTTAAAATTGTACTCGTATTGTATAAAACCAAATAATAAGCTTAAATTGTAAGTTCTTGTTTAAATTAACATTAGATAAAAAAACTTAAATAATATTCAAATTATAACAGCAGTTTAGGAGCACCTGAATCATCCAATTTTAAGTTTGATTTTTTTAAATTTAGTTTAAATTTTATAATTTTTTCATTAAGTTTAAGTTAAGATTTTATTTAAAGATTTTTTTTTTGCAAATTGTGTAAATAAATAGAAAAAAACTAAAATGAAATAAAAACATGCCACTCAAGTTGAACGAAAAAGAAAAATATAAAATGAAATTATATTTTGAATATAAAAAATGTCATGTCAAATAAATACCAACATATCAATAAAAATTTATTTTTATTAATTGACAATGTGAAGCCCATTCACAAATATTTCCCAAGAAAATAATTGTTTTTATTCTAAAAGTCGTCAACTGTAATCATTTTTGTTGTCTAGTTTTATTGAACAGAAACCGAGAAAGATAAATGACAGGTATTGTTTTTTCTACAAATAGAATTTAATTTATATTAATTTACAATATATTTTAAACTTTTTATTTTTTTAGCTTAATAATTTAGTTTTATTTACTTTGAAATATGTTTCATATTCTTTTAGGTTAGTTTTAATTGTTTTTCGGTTATATTAATTTTGTTTATATTTATGTTTTTTTTTTATAATTTAATTACAGCATGAAAACTTGCTTGTTGTATCAAATGTTTAATGCATGATAATAAATTTTTTATATTAAAAAAATAATAATAAATATATTTTATTAATTAATCTATTTTATAGGTTAAGTTATAAATCTGTTATAAAGTATATGATATAAATCCGTTACTGGAGTTGCTTTCAAACAACTTAAAATGTTTATTTTAACTAATTTTGATCGCATTGGGTTCTTGTGATATTTCTACTATGTTCGCTTGCCAAAAACTCTATAGGGTCTATTGTATTGATTGGTCTGTGGACTATTAATTTTTCGTTAAACTACACCATTTCCAATTATATTTCAGAAATGTCTAATTATATTTCTGTAATTTCCAATTATATTTCAAAAATATCTAAATACATTTCATAAATTTCTAATTGCTTTTCAGAACTTTCAATTATACTTCAGAATTTGCCATTTGTATTTCAAAAATGTTTAACAGAATTTTCATATAAATTTTCTGAAATTTAGTTGAAATTTCTGAAATTAAATTAGTAATTTCTGAAATACAATTGGAATTTAGGGTTAGGTTAGGGTTAGTTTGATAGGAGGATGTATAGTACATCAATCGGGCCTGTTGTGCGCTCCTTTTTGTAAAAAAAAATTGTTCAATGAATGTATTATTTTTCAATGTTTAGATACTCAGTTTCCTGGACGTAATTGCTAAGAATTTTCCAATCAGTGGTAGTCAGGAATGTTTTTTCCGGAATAACATCACTTCCAAGATACTTGGATCTAACTTCGACGAATGCCTGACAGTGACAAAGAAAGTTCTCCAGAGTTTCACTGTCCTCTTGCTGTCATCAGGGTCACCGCATAGGATCTTTGTGGTTCTACCCTCCTTTTCATTATTCCAAGAGGCCTTATGGGATTCTCTCACCCATATTTAGTTAAAGCTTTCTTACAAATCAATACGGTCTTAGATTTAAATGGAGTTTAAATCTAAGACTAATCTACGTTTATTGACTAGCCTATGGATAACTCTACGTTACTAGGATTTGAACTGGTCAACTGGCAACTCTATCATCTAGTCTATTTACTAGTTTATTTGGAATAGTCAGCTAGCCATCCTTAATAAACTTTGGATCAGTGAATGGACTAGTAGACTGACTTTTCTATTGACTAGTCTGTGGACTATTAATTAGTCATTGGATTAAGCAATTAACTATTCCATAGACCAATCTTTTAATAAGTCTATGGTCTAGTCTAATGTATTGATTGATCTATATTTATTTACTTAGACCAGTCGACTGACAATTCTATTGATTAGTCAGTAGACTAGTCTATTTGGACTAGTCGACTGACTATTATTTACTAGACTTTTTACAAGTCAGACTAACAATTGGCCATTGGACTATCCACCATTCGATTGACTAGTTTACTGACATTTCCACTGACAAGTCTAAGTTACTCGACAGTGGACTAATCGACTGACAACTCTATTGTCTAGACTATTGATTAGTTTTTGGACTATTGCTTAGTATGTGGGATATTCTATGGATTGACATATTATAAGTTCTGTAGACTAAGTAACTAATGAGCTATTCTATGGACTTGATTATGGAGAATTTTTTTACCAGTTAATTAACAATTTATCTAAAGGTTTTTGTAATATATTGGGTATACATAATGAAAATGTAGAACGACCATTCACTCCTACAGAAAATGAGTTTATTATGGTTTAAATTCACCCAAAATTATTTGGTCTACTAATTCATTTACTTTCTTAAATTCAGTAGAGTGTGGTCCTTGATGGACCCGAGGTATCTGGATATGTCTGGTAAATAAGTAAAACTCTGTAATCAGGAGGAAATGGTATAAATATCTTTTTATAGTTTTCTCAAAAAGAGATTTTTCGTTTCTACTTTTTATGGGGGTTAATGCGATCACTATTACAAGTCCACATATTTATGTGGATAGGCAAGTTACTCGTACAATATTTCAAGTTAGTTAATAACAGTTATAGTTTCCTAGAGATACGAATTGTATTTGTATGGGAGGTACTTGGTTTGTATACGTGGTAGTTCACTACGCGCGAACTGTCAAGTAGAATCGATGAGACTCCGTTTTGACCTAGGTGGGTGGTAGGGAGGTGCTATTTCCAATGTTATTACCTAATATAATGAGATTTGCTACAATGTTACTAGCAAACAGTTTAAAGGTTCCTATTACAAATTATATTCCTCAGTGATTTGATTAATACATTTAAGGCGCTCAATTAAGGTATTAAAAATTGTGTATAAATAAAAATTTTGTTCTTCTATCTATATACATATTATTTCTTTTCAATTTTTCATATTTCCTGTTTTATTTTAAGTTATATTTTATTTTCATAGAATTTTCAATTAAAATAATTTATTTTAAGCTTTAAACTTTAAAAGTTTTATTTTTAATCCTGTTCAAGATATGTTTTTATTATTTTTTTCTATTCACTAAATAATTAGTTATTTAATGCTTTTTACTGTAAATTATGAGTTTTTACTTTTTGCATATAAATATGCTATGAATTATGGAATAGAAAAAACAGGAAAATAATGAACAAAAAAAAACTCTAGAGAAGCTTGCAAACTTATGCTTCTGCATGATAAGATTTGTACATACTTGTATGTTTTGTATATAATATACTATATACTGCTATGTACAAATGTATGTTTTAAATATGTATTTATGTATGTATAAGTTAAATATTATATGTCAGTTTATATGCTTTTTCTGTGCTCGTATATGCTCGTTTATTTATTATACATATTAATAGCCATGGAATGTTAATTTCCTTTTCCAGTGCTTGTATTTTATTTCTTTTTCATTTGACTGCTTTAAACGAAATATTTAAAATAAACTGCTTTTTATTAAAATTGAAATGAATGAAACACCAATTGCTTCTTTATGCCTTTAAAATGCTTATTTTTTATATAATTCAAACATTTATTTAATTAAAGTTGTTGCTATGCGCTTATTTTGGAATGCTTAACCAACCAATCAAATAAAAATCTATAAAACATTTTCTTTTTTAAAAAACCAAACTAAATGCGACATTATTTCAAAACCAAACTAATTTTAACCAAAAAAAAATATACATAAATCAGACCAAAAAACCCCTCCATGCTAAAAAAATATATATATATTATTAACAAATCAATAATCTCTATAGACCACCAAATTTCTTAGCCTCATTTATCAAAAACAATACTTACAAAAACCTTCCCATTTTTATATGGAATTTGAGAAAAAACAACTAAAATCGGTTACAAAATCGCAACATCAGTTTCAAAACTCAAAATTCAAATTTCCAATAACAAACTAAAATAAACAAACTCCATTTACGAAAAAAAAGAAAACGAAAAATCACTTACTTAAATTTGCTCTAAATCCCCTTTTCCAAAACTGCAAAATAAAAAAACGCTAAAATGATTCGATCTAATTTATCACCAAAAAAATCCCATTAACAACTAGAAAAATAAAACCATTCTATTAATCATAAACGAAATACATATTTAAAATTTTATTTGAAATTATCTTTAAACAATTTTACTAATCGTTTTATTTTTCTTTAAATTTAATCAATCATCATTGTTCTGTGATAAAACAAAAACCACAACAACAATAGGAATACAGTGTACAGCTGACGTTCCGTGAACAATGGACGGATGAACGTTTGAAATTTGATGACATACAAGGTAAGTAGAATAGTTTTACGGCAGATATTTTTTGGACTTTGTTAATAAAAAAAGGTTATGTGTGGACTAGGGATGTCAATCCAGAAAATCCCGGGATTTTTCGCATGCTTAATTTCGTATTTCTAGGTTTAATTTTAAAGAAAGCTCAAAAAAGTACCTGTGTAGAACGAAAAAGTACCGAAATGTCCCCTTATTATTAATTTCATGTTTCGATTTCAATATCATAGAAAACTCAAAAAGTACCAGTTGGAAAATGAAAAAGTACCAAAAAATATCTCTTGGTACCGGTGTTCCAAATAACACCCGATTAGCATATTTAGTGTTTCTAAATCTAAAAATTTCATATAAATTGGATCATTGTGTTTGAATAAAATCAAATTACCCGTTTTTCCCCTTTTAGTACTTTTTTCCTCCCCATTAACGAAATAAAAATTATATTCCAAAATGTTGCAACATCGTATTGGGAGCCCGTTATAATGTATTCATATGTATAAGTTAATAAACCAAAAACAATGTTTTATGAAAAAAGTACCAAAAATAGGTACAATTTTCACCCCTTAAACGTCCGAATATCAAAAAAAGTACTAAATTCATATTTTTATTTTCGTCAAGTTATGAAGGAGTTAAAAATATTTTTTGATACATGGGGTGCAAAAAAAAGTGCCAAAATACAATTTTTACCCGTTCATTCCCTATAGGGGCAGATTTAAAAAAAAAATACCAGTCACCTGTCCGCTTATTTTTTAAATGAACGACGATAAGCTCTAAACTGTTTTTGTATCTATTCTTGTTTAGGATATATGAGGTTACCGAATTTACCCGTTTTTACCCTTTTTACCCCCTAAACATTCGAATTTTCAAAAATCCCGTAGATCTATTTGTGGGAGACCAACCCCTGTCCAAATTTCAGCTCTTTCAGCTCCAAATTTACACATAGACGAGTAGTAGATTAAGTTTTAGCGATGCGTATGACGTCACAAATTTACACTTATTACCAGTGCACAATGGAAAAGAAATTATTGAATAATATCAAAATTAAGAAGATATTGAAATTTAAAACAATTAGGTTCGAATACGTTGTTAGTACAATGTACAACCACATCAAATCCGAAGAAAATCTCAGTTTCCTTAACATAGTTTTTATGAATTTTTCAATCGATGGGCCCACCCAAGATATGTGGATCTAATTTCAACGAAAGCCTGACAATGACAAAGAAAGTGCTTCAGAGTTTCACTCTACTCCCAAAATGGTCTATGTTTATCAGAACATGCACCGTCTGCAATCATATGTGTCCACTTAGAATAGTTGTTTATGATTCTACACACCGTTCCAATACTTCAACTGGCCTTATGGGAATCTCCCGCGAATTTTTTAATTCAACATTTGTTGGATGAAATGGTTTTATGTTCATCAGGTTAACTACCTTGAGCTCCCTTCCCTTTAAAGAAAGTTCATTCGCTTTTTCGTTGCCTATTATTCTCGAGTGGCCTGGTAACCATATTATACAAAGCTTACTTGTGGTGAGTATTCGGCCAATGCTTTCTTCAGTCTAATACGGCCTTGGATTTAAACTAACCACCTTATATCGTCCTAATTGACTTCTGACTGTCGGTAATAATAGGTGAGTTGTTGATCACCACCTTGCTCTTTGGAGTAAGTGCACTGCGGTGTTCTTATCAGTCCTAGCAGTCTTTTTAATTGACACCTTTCCAATTTTAAAAAGGATCGCTGCTCTGTGAGTGATTTCCTTCTAGTTTTTATTTAAGTGTCCTTGTCGGGGCTTGTTATAACAGACCTTCCAATTGGCACCTTCACAATTTTGAAGATGTTACCTATTACAAGTAAAGTTTCCTCAGCTTCTTCTTTAATGTGAAAGACATCCCAGTTTTCCACGACCAGTTCAGCATTTTGGCTTCCAAGAATTTCCAATATACGCTCATTAGCCACTTTACTGCCTCATTATTTTATGTAGATTGTATACTGTATAGCAGCTATTTTCCTTTTCCACAATCTGGCTTCTCCTTCCTCGTTTTTCCGGTCTTCTTTAGAGATACCCTTACCTTGGAGGTTGATTTCGCCGACGTGTTCGTCTTCGAAATATCTAGTTGTCACCCTTAATCGCAGCATTCTAACTTGAAGTTCCTTTGAGTGAGATATAGCTTGTCTTCGACTGTATATTAGAAGACGGGAAGCTCTTTTTCTTCTTAGGTTTATTCTCAGTTGTCAACTCCTCGAGAGATCTGATCCTCTTTGCCTCAGATATTGAGAGAGCCCGAGGAACCCTCACCTATGTTTAAAGGCTTTAAGCTCTCTCCGAGTACATCATTCTCTTTCACTCCAGTGTTTTTCACAATAGCATCCTGTACACTTGACGCATTGTCCACCACGAAGGCCAAGGTGTCCGCTTCCATAATAGTCTTTTGCTCACGGTAGGAAAAAACTGGCGAAACTCCCCGAGAAAATTGACATTAACATAACTATTTTTAACACGATGATTCTTACTATTGTCATAGATTATTTAGCGTGAAAATTTTCTGCTTTAACGTGTTATTTACAGACATTTTAAATTTATCCTAATATATGTATTTATTTAATCTTAACTAATATTTAAACAATACTAATTAAACTGATTAATATACCTTGCAGGTCGTCTCAAATATTTGACATTAACAGAAGCCAATCGTGTTTGGATGCCTGATCTTTTCTTCTCTAATGAGAAAGAGGGTCATTTTCACAATATCATTATGCCAAATGTTTACATACGTATTTTTCCAAACGGTTCAGTTCTGTACAGTATTCGTATATCACTGACATTGGCATGTCCCATGAATTTGAAATTGTATCCATTGGATCGTCAAATTTGTTCACTACGTATGGCCAGTTGTAAGTACTACTCTCTCACGCTCTCTTCCACATTCTCTCATATTTAATTCGTCATACTCATTTATATATAATTAATCTTTCAGATGGCTGGACTACAAATGATCTTGTCTTCCTGTGGAAAGAAGGTGATCCTGTACAAGTGGTAAAGAATTTACACCTACCTCGCTTTACACTCGAAAAATTCTTGACTGATTATTGCAACAGTAAAACCAATACGGGTACGTTTATTTTATTCTCTTTTAATACTACTTATTATATAAGTAGATGCATAAGTATGTATTCTATTTCATAATCTTCTCTTATTTAAGAGTTGATTTTCGTTAAATTCTGTTAAAATTTTATTTTAATTTTTTGTCCATAATTTTTTAATTATTAAGTTTGTTTGAAATATTTTCAATAACAATTATTCATAACTTTGTTCAATGTTAGTTTCATTTTCTTTAACTTTAATCATTTGTACTTATTACTAATTAAGTATTAACAATGTGGACTTATAATTAAGGTCACTAGTTTAATTTTCATATTTAAGTTTTAGTTCATTTTCCCTAAATTTCATTAAATGCTTTTTAAAGTTTACAAATTTTTAACTTACATTATTTAACTGCCTGTTTTTTTATTTCGAAAAATATAATTTTTCCTTAACTTTCGTTTTGTTTAAACAAATAGCAAATAATTTGTACATCACCAACTCTTAATTACTAGTAAAAATTAAAAAAAAAAAAAAAAGAAAAAGTTGTTTGTTACAATTTAAAAATAATATATAGCTCATCTACAGTAGAAACTCGATAATCGAAAATGATTGCGTTAAATTTGTTGCCATGCGAAAGAAATCTCACTTAAGTGATATAAATAATGATAAATAATTGGAATTTCAATTTGATTTTGGTCGAAATTCTACTGTAACTTAAAACACTCATTTACACTTTTTTTGATACAAACACACTCACATGCTACTAAATCAATAGCCATCGTTGCCTTTTCTTAGTCAGCTGCATTAATTATTTAAATTAAACTTTAGTTCATATTTAATTCATTTATTATTAGAATCTAGAAAATTTGCATGATGTTTTTGCTTAGAAGTAAGTATCGTACAAACGTAGATCCACTTAGAAGGTATTAAATAAAATTTTATACTAAAAGCTTTAAATATACATCATACATATGGACTTTTCGAAATAAGCTTAATTTACATATCAGCTGCTTATTTATTATGCCGCACTTCCGCTTATTTCATACATAGACCGATCATTAGCCTATTGTTCGATATTTTAAGAAATAGTTAATAATAGATTGCTACGATGTGATATCATACTTTTTCAAAAAGTGTCTATATCAGACATAACAATACTGCAATATTTTTTTTTAAATTCCAATTCCACTAAAGATGCTCAATTTTTGAAAAAAAAAATGTTTTTTCGTCGGTATTTTACATATCGGATTATTCCTGTCAGTTTTTTCAAAAAAGCTCGACAAATAAATATTATTTCGATATGATTTAACTACTATTGAAAAAGATGACCCCCGACCTTCTCAGGTTATAGTTTAAGATTGTCCGATTCGAACAAAACTTCGGGGATATATTTTATAGTATGTGGACTATAATGCTCTGAAATTCTTTATTTAAAAGGTACGTTAGTAAAGAATTAAGACATATATATTCTCTTAACGAATTTTCTTATATAAGAGAGTCTTTTAAAAAGGAGTGTTGATCTGATTTAGCATAAACATATGTATATATGTACAGTACTAAATTATAACAAAAATAGTAATTTTAGTTATATAAAGTACTAAACTAATTTTCCGGACTATAGACCAGACTGTAGACTAAACTATAGAGTAGGCTTGACTATAACATAGACTAGACTACAAACTAGACTATAGACTATACTATAGACCAGACTATAGACCAGACTATTGACTAGGCTATATACTAAAGGCTAGGCTATATACTAAGACTATAGAATAGACTATAGACTGGACTATAGACTAGACTACAGACTATACTATAGGCTAGACTATAGACTAAACTATAGACTAGACTACAGACTAGACTACAGACTAGACTATAGGCTAGACTATAGACTAGACTATAGACTAGACTATTGACTAGACTAAAGACTATAGACTAGACTATAGACTAGACTATAGACTAGACTATAGACTAGACTATAGACTAGACTAGACTAGACTATAGACTAGACTATAGACTAGACTATAGACTAGACTATAGACTAGACTATAGACTAGAGACTAGACTATAAACTAGACTGGACTATAGACTAGACTAGACTACAGACTAGACTATAGACTAGACTATAGACTAGACTATAGACTAGACTATAGACTAGAATATAGAATAGACCATAGACTAGACTATAGACTAGACTAAAGACTAGAATATAGACTAGACCATAGACTAGACTATAGACTGGAATATAGACTAGAGACTAGACTATAGACTAGACTATAGACTGGACTATAGACTAGACTACAGACTAGACTATAGGCTAGACTATAGACTAGATTATAGACTAGACTATAGACTAGACTAGAGACTAGACTATAGACTAGACTATAGACTGGACTATAGACTAGACTATAGACTAGACTACAGACTAGACTATAGGCTAGACTGTAGACTAGACTATAGACTAGACTAGACTAGACTAGACTAGATAGACTAGACTATAGACTAGACTATAGACTAGACTATAGACTAGACTATAGACTAGACTATAGACTAGACTATAGACTAGACTATAGACTAGACTATAGACTAGACTATAGACTAGACTATAGACTAGACCATAGACTAGACTATAGACTAGACCATAGACTAGACTATAGACTAGACTAGACTATAGACTAGACTAGACTATAGACTAGACTATAGACTAGACTATAGACTAGACTATAGACTAGACTATAGACTAGACTATAGACTAGACTATAGACTAGACTATAGACTAGACTATAGACTAGACTATAGACTAGACTATAGACTAGACTATAGACTAGACTATAGACTAGACTATAGACTAGACTATAGACTAGACTATAGACTAGACTATAGACTAGACTATAGACTAGACTAGACTATAGACTAGACTATAGACTAGGAATATAGACTAGACTATAGACTAGACTATAGACTAGACTATAGACTAGACTATAGACTAGACTATAGACTAGACTATAGACTAGACTATAGACTAGACTATAGACTAGACTATAGACTAGACTATAGACTAGACTATAGACTAGACTATAGACTAGACTATAGACTAGACTATAGACTAGACTATAGACTAGACTATAGACTAGACTATAGACTAGACCATAGACTAGACTATAGACTAGACTATAGACTAGACTATAGACTAGACTATAGACTAGACTATAGACTAGACTATAGACTAGACTATAGACTAGACTTAGGATTTAACAGACTAGACTGTAGTCTAGACTGTTGCCTATAGGCTACACTATAGACTAGGCAATAGACTAAACTATATAGTAGACTATAGACTACTCCTATATATACTGCTACTATATACTAGAATATTGATTGAATTTTCCATGCCTGGTCTTTCCTTAACTCTAGGAACGATTGACAACTCCTTAAAATCAATATTGTCAATGTTCACATTTTGTTAACATTTATAAATGTTAAATATTAGGATTGGGCTGAATCCGTATATCACCTTAGACCTTCTCCATCGCATCCGCGATTTCAGAAATCGTGTCCTGAAGTTTAAAAGAAGATAATTTTTGGCCGTTTTTGAAACTTTATAACAACGTCAAGACAACTTTATTTAGAAAATGTTGTATGCAATCTGGAAACCCATTCTGTCAGCTTTGAAATAAAGGACCTAAAGCTTGATATAACAATAAATTGACAAAAACTGTATTTTGTGATTCTGAGGACAGATTCGGATTCAGCGTTGCTCAATTCTTTAGAAAAGTATACTTTGGTCACAGGGTTAAAAATTTGTCGGCCTGTGTTATTATTTCTTCGGACATTCAAAAATGTTGCTAAAGATCCATCAACCAAATTTTTTTCATCAATAATATCTTGATTTCATTAGCTCTGAAAACTTTGCGTTTCTGTTTCAATCACTTTGGAATTTTAAGGTTTTGGTTATTTCAAAATTATTAAATTAAATTTTAGTTATAGATATACATATACAATCGTAACAAAATTTACATATTTCTCTCAAATTAATCAAAACTAGAGCATTATTGAATTTATGAAATTTATTAGAAAAAACCTCATAAAAACCAAAAACTCAAATTAGTTTAAATGCATGATTTTTTTCATTTTATTTTCAGCAATGATTTACGTTAGTAGTTTATATTTTTAATAGCTTTTATTTAGGTTTAGTTTTAGTGGTTTACAAAATATATACAATAAACTATTTTTAAATAAATTACATATAAAAACATATAGTGAATAATATTAAAATGAACAATATTTAGGAAAAAACATTAACTCAAACAAAAACCCAATAAATAATGTACAAATGAGTGTAAAATTTCAAATGGTTACAAAAATAACAACAGCAATCACATTAGCAACACAACAACAAAAATAAATTAAAAAAAGAAAAGTTATATTTAAAAAATTAAAACTATTCTAATCACAATGCAAATGTAACAAATTACTCCAAACAACAACAATAATAAGTAAATAGTAATTATAATTACAATGACAAAAACAACAAAAAACTGAACTTTTAGTATTAGAACTCTAATTACTCTTGTGCTCTTTTTCGTTCTCCCCTAAGCTCTCTCGCTCTTTTATTTTTGTGGTTGGAATTATTTGCCAGATGCATTGATGAGATAAAATACAACAACTTAAATGAATAAATTAATGAATGAATGAACGAAGGAATAATAATGCAATAAATCAATTTAAATTATTTTTGTTTCATTAAAACAATTAAATAATACATTTAATTAAATATTTATTTACAACTGTATATAAAAAAGAGAATATTTATTTTGTAAATAATGAGCCTGCAACAAACAAAAAATGCATTAATAAAAATCAAAATATGAGAATATTAAAACAATTTAATTCAATTTATAATAAATATTATTATTATTTTGAAATGCAAAATATCAAAAAAAATATATCAAATTGAAATGAAAATAACAACAACAACAACTTTGTCTTGAAGAGTATGGAACGCATTGCCAACAAATTAACGGAAATGAAATGTAATAAAGATTTTTTTTGCTGCTGTGTAGTAATTTTTGCCATTTAAATTCATTTCCGTTAAATATTGTTGATGCAAATAAATAAATGCAATATTGTGTTGATTCTACTTGCCTATGAAAAAATTTATTTTAATTTCATTTTCAATTTATTTTATATTTAGTTACATAAACAATTTTTTAGTTTCTTTTTTCTACGTTTTGAGTTTTTAATTACAATAATTTCCGCATTTATAATTTCTATAACACTATCATTTGTTTTGTGATGTAATTTTTTCGTTTTATAATTTAGTTGATTTTTATTTGAATATTTTTTAATGTTTTTATTTAGTTATTATTTTAAGACCATGTGTTGCTGTATACACTCCTGTATTTTTGTGTTTTATTTGTTTTTGTATATGTTTTATACCTTGTATACTCATAGGTGAATACAGTTGCCTCAAAGTCGATCTACTATTCAAGCGAGAATTCTCATATTACTTAATTCAAATTTATATCCCATGCTGTATGCTGGTAATTGTCTCATGGGTGTCATTCTGGCTTGATCAAGGTGCTGTACCAGCTCGTGTATCATTGGGTAAGTCGATAAACAGGCACGACCGCTGTCAACAACAGCTGACCAGACCGACCCACACCATCCACACTTTAGCAAAACAACACCTTACAAAATAAACCTAAACAATTTCTTACACATTCAACAACTAAGCAATTCCATTTAAGAGCATTTACACTACGTATTGTTTAACACCTTACGCTCTCTTGGTAATAAATTCAAGATTTTAAAACTTATTTATTGAGAACAAAAACTAATTACCTTTACTTGAGTGTAAGTACTTACATCTGCTATCCACAAAGGCTGTTAGTTAACTAAAGACCCGTTTAATTTCGTAGGCTTCTTTATAAAATAACCATTAAGTACATTTGAGTAAATTTTTTTTATTTAGCTTGCTTAATGAGTATTAATATTAGAATTATTTACTTTTGTTCCGGTTTAGGTGTTACCACTCTCCTAACAATGGCTACACAAACATCGGGTATTAATGCTTCACTGCCGCCAGTCTCATACACAAAGGCCATTGATGTTTGGACTGGTGTGTGTTTGACGTTCGTATTTGGTGCCCTGCTCGAGTTCGCCTTGGTGAACTATGCGTCCCGCTCAGGTTTGAATAAAGCTAGTAATTGAGATTTTATATGCTTCTTATTAACTGTATTTAATTAATTAATATGTGTTTTTTTATTATTGTTGTTTACTTTAACTATATAATTTTTTTTGAAATGTATGTCTTACTAAAACACACTTACTTTTATATATAAATATTGTATATAATGTACATGATGTAAACATACATGTCTCAATATATCTCTATATATAAATGTAATTCAATACCTTATTGTTTTTTGGCAAACAGTATACAAAGTGATTTCAAAAATCAAACACCAAATGATTTTTGTTCAACAAATGTTTGCAAAACCACTCATCACCAACACTCACGTTTATATTACTAACACACTAACCATACAAATATGTTGACAATAATTTCGTTAAATAAAAAAAGAATTAATGTAATAAAACGACCACAAAAAAAAGAAATAATAAAGTTAATACGCTTTATTGACAATGGCTATTGAAAAAAAGACATGACAGATTATGACAAATTACAAATGACAGAAATTCGATTTGTGTTAAAATGTCAAAATTTTGCTTTCATCGTTGTATTACATGCTAAAAGCTAAAAATAAACAATACACAATTTTTTATTTGTTTTAAATTCAGGGACATTCAACAAGGGATTTAATTAAACATACAAAATAATCATATTATTTAAAACATTTTCAAAACATATAAAGACTTAATTGTATTTTAATTTAACAATTTAAATATATGTTTTGTTAACAACACGTAAGGAATAAATGTTAATTTGTGTAAGACAACTTGATTTGTAAAGATTATTAATATATTTTTTTCAAAAAAACTCCTCAAACCAGAGTAAGGAAAATGTCAAAATTTTTTAATTATATGAAAAAGATTCGAAACAAAATTGTATGTTTCCCTAAAATCTACAATAGCAGACCTTTTAGACTTCAGAGTACATATCTGTAATAATTGTTTATAACTCGTTACATTATTCTGTAAAATACAACCACTAGATATTACTTAATAGTTCTCATCAGTTCCGGGAGACAGTCCCGCACTAGTTATTAAACCTACCACTTAGGGTCACCACTATCCATCGACCAGCTAAGTTAAGTTTTGACAGGTTGCCAATCTATGATTACTTGGGTCTAAAGTTGATCACTTTGTAAAAATATCAGCAAGAAAAGGAAAATAGAGTTAGTAGAAAGCGAGATAGAAGAAACACAAAGAAAGAAAAGAGAAAAACCGACAAACATGTCGTTGAATAGAGACGTAGTATAAAGAGAATTTGAAGTTCACACCCATTTCGACAGATTCAAAAATGCAATGACGCGTTCTAATTGAAAATTCGATAGATCAGATAGATCGTTGAATTAGGTCGATTCTAGAGATCGACATCAAGTCATTTTCAGGGCTGGACAGTTACAGAGAAGATGAGCTACCGTTTCATCTTCATCCTTATTCTGACAACTTCTGCATATTTCATAATATGGAAGACCAATGCGTCTAACATTGTTACCAAATTTGCAATGACCAGTAATAACCGAATAACAAATGTCTATGATCTGATCTATTTCTAGTTCTCTTAGCGTGGTTCAAACTCTTGCCAAAGTTTCGGCAATATTACTGCATATGTATTCCCGTATCCTTTGACCCATATAAGGGTCTGGCATTCATGGACAACTCTAGATGTGTAAAACACACCAATTAGGGATTTAATAGCTGCTTGACCTTCGGTATAAACTATGACATCTCTGTTAGATATCCGATAGTACCTTAGCCAATTCGAGGCCCACTTAATCGTTGATATTTCTGGTTGAAGGATACTGTAATCATCATCGAGTCTAAAAAAGATTTAAGTCCCAAATTAATCGATGAAGATACCTTTAGTTGTCTGTTATTCATATATATTCTCACGAAAACAACTATTTAACGGTAGGAGGAATTCTTGAGACTTCGTAGATATATATTGGAATTTCCTCAAGATGTTCCGGCCCGGAACTTGCGCTATACAATAATTAACGGCATTCTGGGGTCTCGGCAGAAGATCAGTGATTGTGGAGTGACCTCCCAAACAAAGTGTTACATTTGCCAGTTAAACTTAATCTGGCAGAAGTATTCATTGTCATTTGTTTAGCTAAAAGATGTACTGGAAGCAAGATGTACTGGAATGCCAGATCTAATAACCTCTTCATGATGTTGTCTATTGTACCTTATTGTTTTAATAACAGCCTGAAATACCCAATGAACGTTTCTCGGTTTTATACCCAATCATGTTCCAATGACCTGTTCTAAAGTGAAGCATATCCCAGACAGAGCGTTCTACATTGATTGAAACCAATAACAGTCGGTCACGGCAGGGTCTGGATTATATATCCCAACCACTTCATTCAGCACAGGTTGCCCATGATAGTCCGGTTAGATTTCAGCAGCTCATAATAGATAGGATCCTTTTGGACCCAACAAATACCGAGCATTAACTTACCTCCATAGATATTTGGCTTTGTTAGCGATTTTCCAAGTTGAACTTCACATAAGATCTATTGAACTTCTTGTTTCCGAATGCATCCAGATTCAATCTCAAGTAATGATTTAGTGCAAAAATTTATAGCATTCGAGCAGAATTTCCTACATGAAAAATCTTTCAAGGTCTTTCGGCTTTAATTCGTACGGTATCCAATTTCCTTTCTTCCAGATAAATACTCTGCTAGCAAACATTTTGAAACTATTGCTTGGGTTGTTGCCATGATTTTGCAAGTTCTTAGGACAACCATCTTCAATATTCTTAGAATTCAATATTTGGTATTCAAACTTTTTTGAATAGCGTGGCCGATCTTGGTCTCCAGTGTCTGATTCAACCGAAGGAGCACATTCATAAATATTCTTAGGAGAGCAGTCGGTGTGCTTCAGCGACCCCTTTTTCAAATTAAAGAAGTAAAGCACGCTTTGTTGGCAAAAATAATCTATATTTTCGAAGCAAATAAAACTTGGTTGTATACAGAATAATGTTCAATAACTAAGAGAGAATAAATGACAGATATGAAAATAAAAACAGCTTTCAAAATATATGAGCCATCTGCTGTGAAACCCACATTTTTAAGTTATGCACCCAATAAATGAAAAGCCTTAATATACTGATTAAATTAAAAATGTTATTAAAATCAAAATTTTAACTTCCTTTTTTAAGTTATCACATTTGCAAGATGTAAATAATAACAACTTTTCATTAAAAACTTTCTCATTCTCATTACAACAATCTCATGTGTACATTATTGCAACAAAACAAAAATCACAAACAATTGGACGCAATTAAAAATTGTATCACAAATTAAAAATTGTCTATCACTACATTTACCAACTCTGGTTTGCACACTACTGCCAATTTCAATTAATATTATTTATTTACATAAATAATTTTGTATTAAAGAATCTATATAATAAACATTGATGAGAATTTAAACTAATACAGGTATTTTTTATTTCCCCCTTTTTTCTTATTTTGCGACATCCCTCAACTCGAAATGTTTGTAAATATAACAACAAATATTTGCCACTATTACTACCGCAACTGCAACAATTGCTAACTACAACACTATGACTAAAAACAACTGCAACTACAACTTTAATCACAACAACAACAATAATAACAACAATAATTTTAATAACTGTAACTAACAAATTAATAAATGTGAAAACACTTTTGCACACCACTGTATAAATGAAAACTAAAATCAAACGAAATAAAACATTTTCTTGCAAAATCATTAATTCACAAATCGAATCAAACAAAATCTATCAATCAATCACTTTAATTATTTATTGTTATTATTTTTTGTTTTAATTTGTTGGCAAAACTTAACAAAATAATTATTAAATGTTGTGAAAAATTTGTTTTTATTTATAAACATTTTATATTTAATTTGCGAAAACATAAATGTTTTTATTGTTTTTGTTTTTAAAATAATATGTTAAATTTAAACAAAATTTATCAAAAAATGTACATTGATTTTTGGTTCTGCCTGTAAATGTTGCTGCTGAATACAAAAAAAAAAAAAAAACACAACAAAAAATACTAACAAAATTATTAAAACATTTAAATTTTATTATTATTTATTTTGCACACTATGTTTATATTTTTTTAAATTTAATTTTATGCAATTTTATTTTTTAACAAAAAAATTCATTAATTCAATTAATTGTGCGTGTATTGTAAATTTCTATATAAATGTGTGTGTGTGACTGTGTAAATAACAACTAAAACACTAACAAAATCTGCGTAATATAAAAAAATATTAATAATCCGTTTTACAATTATTCAACTACTAATACCACTACTAACTACAATTTCTACTACTTAATACTATTATTTTCGTCAATTCGTTGTTTTCTACTACTACTACTATTCTACTACCAAATATCTCCTCTACTCTACTGTCTATATTACAACTTTATTTATTTATTTTTGTGTTGTGTGAAAAAACTCTATGAATCACTCAAACTATCAATCAATCAAACAAACAATACTATTCCAAAATTTGTTGTGGAACAAATAAATTCTTGTCAAACATTTTCTACCACATGCAACATATACGGATCGGGCCGCAGACATGCACAAGGAGAATATGAAAAAGAAACGACGGGATTTGGAACAGGCCAGTATAGATGCTGCTTCAGATTTATTGGATACAGATAGTAATGCAACATTTGCAATGGTATATATTGATTAAATGAATTTAAATATATTTTAATTTAACAGTTATTTGGCTTAAAATTTTTAGTTATTTTGTTAACATTTTTAGTTCTTAAATTATCATTAATTCATTGTCTCATTTAAATGCGTAATTGAATGCATTCAACATTAAAAGGATTGATAGGATGATGTATACTATATCAAATACGAAGAAACACACCTAGACCGCTACATGGGCCTGAATGTATTATTTTTCAGTGTTCAGAAACTTAGTTTCTTGGACGTAATTACTCTGAATTTTCCAATCAGTGTTAGTCAGGAGTGTTATTTCCGAAATAACATCACTTTCAAGATACTTGGATCTAACGTCGACGAATGCCTGACAGTGTCAAAGAAAGTGCTCCAGTGTTTCACTATCCTCTCCACATACTCTACATTCGTCTGAATCCGCACGTCCAACTTTGTATAGATGTCCTCGTAATCCTGTGTGTCCACTTAGAATACGTACCATCATACTAACCTCAGACTTGCTCATTTTGAGGAGATTTCATGTCTTGCTCTCATCAGGATCACTCCATACGATCTGTGTGGTTCTACCCACCGTTTCATTATTCCAATAAGAATTCTCTCACCCATATTTTTAATTCAGCTTTTGTTGCGTCGAATGGTTTTGCGTTTGTCAGGTTAACTACCGCTATCTCCCTTCCCTTTAAAGCTATTACATTCGTCCTTTTGTTGCCGACTACTCCCGAGTTGTCTGGTACCCATATAATGTAAACCTTATCTCTGGGACAGTATTCAGTTAAAGCTTTCTTACAATCCAATACGGTCTTAGATGTAATTCTATCCAATTGCCTTCTGGCTGTCGGTAAATATATTAAGCCCTGTGGGTGCCATATTTATTTTAATCCAATTTACACATTCCGTTATTGCTCGGATTTCTGCCTGGAAGTTTGTGTTATGATTAGGTAAACGGTGGTATATTTCTGTATCTGGGTCTTCAATACAGAACGTCAATCTCTACTGGTATTTGTTCTAATATTCCGCTTGACTAAGACATTCTATCTGGGATCAGTGTTTCAAAGTTCACAACATATTCTGTGTCTGGTATGCGTTCAGGCACATCCGATGATTGTGTATAACCTTCTAATATGTCCTGTATACATTGATGGCGTGTCCTATAACTGCTTTTGGCCAGTTCGCCTGAAGTAAAGAGCCGTTCGGCTGTAAACGCCGCCTCATATCTTAAATATGTTTCAATGGGTGGAATATCTAGCAACGTTTCCTCCTGTACTGTAATAGTTTGATATTACACTTTTTGTCCAAAGAAGTCCACCAGATTATTAAATCATTAGCTTGAATTGGTCTAATTAACACTTTTATAAAGCCAATTTGTCATAGTAGGACTAAGACCCCATTTCATGCCTATAGTTCTCCTACATATCGCCTTGTTGATCCTATCCTCTACGTGATGTTTCCAATTTAGGAGGCTAATAAGGTGACAGAATGGCACCCTGTGGTATAACGCTAAATACATTTTTCTCGTACATCTCACAGCTTATCCACCCCTTTACAATACCTAATATAAATAATTTATTTATTCTTATCAGATCAGAGAAAAGTTTCCAAACAATTTTGTGAGGTTAGGTTGGTAGGACGTTAGGACTATTTTGGCTACATTACATAAAATATTTGTGTTAGGAAAACAGATTTATAGTGATCTATGAAGGTATTATTGTCAGCAACTCAGTTTTCTGGAAGTAATTCCTAATCATTTTCCAATCTGTGTTCGTGAGGGATGTTATATGCGGAATAATATTGTTCCCAAGATATTTGGATCTAATTTAGACGAAAGCCTGATAAAGACAAAGAATGTTTTCCACAGTTTTAGTGCCTTCCACATTCGTCTGAATCAGCTCTTCAAATGTTTTACAGTTGTACACAGGATACACAGTTGTGCAAAGGATAAACAGTTGTGTTCACTTAGAATATGAACCACTAACCTCGAACTTTCTCTACAAGATTACACATTGGATCTCTGCAGTTCAACTCAATCGTTTCGCTATTCCAAGTGGTTTTGTGGGATTCTCTCGCTCATATTTTGAATTTCCTTATAATCCAGACATATGCACCTTACTCCAACAAAACCGTATACGGGTACTCCTTAACGACTTAAAATATTTCCTTAAATTAAGTAGAAAATGATCTTTCAAATAAATGTTGAATGCTTCAAGTTTAAGTTTTCTCACATTTAAATTTCACATATTTATTTAAATTTAGTATATAACTCTAACTTCATTACATTGGTCTCTAGAAAAACTATTATTCAAAACTATTTAAAACATAACGAATTTCTTTTTGTTTCCTATAATTTGTTTTCTTTCAAAATTTTGTTTAAACATCTTCATGCCATATCGCGCTCGCTAATCATTAACGTATGACAACAACAATAACAACATTAATTGCAACAAAAATCAAACACTTAACTAACGATAAACTACAACAAACTACGACACACAACATCAACATCACACCCATACAAACTTAGAAACCTTTGGTACGTCATCCGGGTGATCCATTGGCATTGGAAAAGTTGAGACAATGTGAAGTTCATATGCAGCCACCAAAACGTCCAAACTGCTGTAAGACTTGGCTGTCAAAGTTCCCCACAAGGTAAATATGTATATGAAATATTAAAAGCATGAGCAACTCTTATACACACACGTGTACGCGCTCTAACACCCATACATTTGGTTGTAATTGTAACGACATGTGCGTGTGTGTGTTGATGAGTATGCGATTATTATGTTTTTGTTGTTCGCTTTCAATTTCCGTTCTTTTATCTTTTTGGATTTCCTTTTTGATGTTGTGATTTGTGCATTGCTTTTGACATTTAATTTCTTGGCTTTAATGTTCAATATTACTTTAATCGTATAAAATAATCGTTTATAACCTTTAAAATATATTTATTGTATACAATATAATAATAACCTAACCTTATAAAAAAAAAACTAATTGAGTAAAAGAATAATTCTTGGTATTTTAATATTCTTGAAATAAAGTTGGAAATATAATAAATTTAAATTAAAATCTGAATATACTTTAATATTCGATTTATAATTGTTTAATGCCTGTTATAATGAATTTCCTTTTTAGTAAATAAATTATTTCAATTTGTTTGTTTTAAATAATTAGATTATTTTTATTGCATTCTGGTATTTAATATTATTATTTATTTAAATTTATTGATTTTGTAGTACAAAAAAATGTTGAATTTAACATTAAAACTATTTTTATTAAAATTTATTTAAATATTTTCAATTTTGCTTGTTTGCCTTAAGTAGTTGCGTTTTTTTTTTTTTTTTTTTTTTTAAATGTTTAATAAATTTATTTATTGTATTCATATGTTTTACGAAATTTAAATAAGAAAAAAAGTACCTAAATATTATTTTAAAAACACCCAAGATATTTTAAAAATAAGAACATTTATCAGCTGATAACTTTAAAAGAGATTTTTGCTAAAGATGTATTTAAAAAGTATAAGAAGTTGATATGGGTCCAATTAGGTAACATAATTATTCTGAAATATCATGTTTTACGAAACTTCAGTTTCACGACCTAGAAGTGTTTCTTACCCAATTTTTACAAGTAATCTAGTTTTAAAAAGACTAATAGATTTCAGGAAAAAATATAACTCTGAATTGAGAATAAGTATTGAATACAATTTACCCCAATGAGAGCGATGTCTACCCTATTTAGCTTTACTGACTCCTTGAGGAATTTATTTAATCTCGTATACATTGATGACGTATGCTATAACCGCATTTAGTCAGTTCGCCGTTGATGTAGTACTAATGGCTTTACTTACAACCAAGCTGCAGATTATTTAAGCATAAGTTAGAATTTGTCCAATCACGCTTTTATAAAACCACTGTATCATCATAGCGCCCAGCACAGATGTGTGTTGCTGAACCTTGTTGTGGTATCTCCATTTTAACTTCCGGTCAAGAATTGTTCAAACTTTACTCTGTTGGTTTCCCACGGGGCAGGTTATCTTGATGATCTTCCCCATCTTCATGTCATTGCAATCCTGGGGAAGAAGAGGTGCTACCAATACTTCATCCGGCACTATAAACTGGTGGAATCAAATGAATCCTCGGCCTTTCCTTGAAATTATTTGATTTGTATCAAACCAGGGAGCCTTATAATCTAGTATCACGGGAACCGGTAGAACACATGGCAGAGTTTCGGACTTTGTCTTGTCCCATTTATTGGAGAGATCCCTTCAAGGGGCACGTAGTGGCTTAAAAATGTTTGTTAAAAGACTGAAGCACGGTAAAGTCTATAATTCAGAATAAGTTCGGTACAGTTGCCGAGTCAACAGATAGACCATACAGAGGAGTGATTGTGGGACTAACCGTAGGAAATGAGTTGTTGTTAAGTGTATCTGACTCCGGATGGATGGGGTATGTGGGCCTTATCCACTGCTATATGTAGAGTGAGTTTGATGATTATCTCGATGAACGTGTCGTATGCTGGGTTGAATGGTTATGGATGTAAGGCATCTTATGCATCTTTGACGAATCAACAAAGGCCATCCCATCTGAGAGGTTGTAAAATGAAGTAATGTTTTTGCATCTCGGAAGTTTACCAACGTGACAGAAATGGTCAGAGATAAGTTAGATCGTACATGGACCGTAAAACCATGTAGAAATATTGCCAATGGCGTATAAGGAGCACAAAGGGCAGGTGGTAAGTTGTCTAATAAGCTCACCCTGTGGTATTAAAAGTACCACCGTGAAATAAGGTCAACACTGCATGTGTTGACGTAAAACACTTCGACTTCTTTACTCTGTATATCACCGGTATCAACTTACCCAGGAAACAGTGTCCAATGTACTTAGGAAATTGCTTTTCATTCAGCTCTCTCGGTTGGCACCAATTTAAGAGTATCAGTGTGTACGTTATTGAAGGCTTCTTCGATGTCAATGCATACCACCTGAAATACAAATACAAGGTGTCCTCTATATTGATGAATCCTTCGATAGAAAACTGTTATTCAGCTTTTTAATACTTATGCTTTCGATTATTCATTCCAAGTAGGATGCACGTGAAGATTATCTGTTGATAAGACTTGGGTGCCGCATGTCTAAGTTTTCCAGGCTCTTGCATCCCGCCATTTTATTGGGGTATATGTATGTGATTTTTAAGCATAATGTATGTTATATTAGTCATAGACCCGCAAAATTGTACACACATGAATAATTTTCTAAGATGATCTATTCACTTCAGTCTTCTTTCTGTTAAAAGGAGAACGTAGAGGAAAGACTTTTCCCGCATCTATTGATTGAAAATAAGAAATATCGGTACACGATTTCAACTTGGCTTGATCAAATTTTACATAAAAAATTTCATAAGAACCAACATTTATCTAAAAAATGAAGATCATTTCCGAAAATCCGACCAAAAGAATTAATTCTATAAAATTAACCATTTCCGTGTTCAAATTGATTTCGATTCCGAACACCAGCCCTAGGACCTTAATCAATTTAAAGGGCCATCATCCGAAACTATGTCCTTTTTGACAAATAATTTTAGAGACAATTATTTTCAGAGGAAAAACATTTTCAATATTCTAGTAAGTTATCTTTATTAGAGTGACCTCCGGAAGGTTAGTAGTTAGTGTTCTAGTCTGATAGACTGGAGGTCGCGAGTTCGATTCCCTCTTGAGGTACTGCAAAAGGAGCGCACAACAGGCCCGGTAGAGGCCTAGGTGTATTTCTTCGAATTTGATGTTGTTTGTATATACCTCAACCAAACTCACTAACTCACTTTATAAAGTTATCGGTAAGTAAATGTTTTTGGGTGTATATATTGTAAGATCTTATTAAATAAAAGTTTTCCTTTTTAACTATTTTAACTTAAAACAAACAAATTATTTCCCTTTGAACTTAATAAATATTTTTACTTCTACAACTTTTACTCGTATTGTTTCTACTTTATTAACCAAACAAAAAAAAAAACTTTTTTTACTAAAAAAAACTAACTAAAACGATTTTCTACCACAAACAAAATCAAAAAGATAATCTAAAAAATGGTAATTAATCATTGTATACCTTAAATATTTATTCAAGACAATGTTCTAGATCGAAGAGAATCGATGTTATATCACGAATAACATTCCCGCTGGTCTTCGCCTTATTCAATCTGGTCTACTGGAGCACCTACCTATTCCGTGAAGAGGAGGATGAGTAAATGCCAAAATAAAATATATTTTAATTTTAAGAGCAAAACCTAAAGATTTTACTAATCAATTATGAAATTTTTCTTCTTTTTTATGTTTACATTTTTTTATATATATTTACATATACTTTTTTACGTTACTACGTTATCGTTTACGTTTTCACTTTCACTTCTCTTGACGATGTTTGTGTTATTATTTGTTACAAACGAAAACCTAATAAATGCAAAATATAACGAAACCAACCAAATTTTTCTACGTCAAATTTGAAACGAAATACGAAAAATCTTTTAAAAAATATCGTACTAAATAAAGGGCTTTCTAAACGCATGATGTGAAAGATGAGGAACTTTACCATAATGGCAATGGCTATGTAGAATTCTATCGAATGAATAACCCAAAAGAAAGAATGAAAGTCAAAAGTCTAAAATTCGACCTCAAACCCTGCCCCTCTAATAAACGAAATTCAAGTTATAAAAAAAGTGTGATTTGTTATATAGAGATTAAAAATTCATTATCCCAAAAAAAAATGTGAGCCAAGGATGTTATATATTTAAAATGTATGAGTATTAAGTTAAAAACAACAAACAAAAAAAACTAAGCTGTAGTTAACAATTTTAAGGAGTAGTTAATAATTTTTAAGATAAATTAATCCATTAACAACCGAAACAAACAATCAACCAACAGACAGACAGACAAACATACACAGACACACACAAAGAAACACATACAAACAGACATAACAGACTTTGATTGTATGTAAAACTTTCATAAAATATTTATGTATAACTGTAAGTAATTTTTAGGTACATACATACACATCTTAAACATACATACTTATATATACTATAAATATACATACATATTTAATACATTTATTATTTAAATATATATTTATGCAAATTTGGTCAGATAATTAGCATTGATTATAAATTAAGTCACTTTGCATAGATTTTGGTAATCTGAGATTATTAATTTCAGTTTAATTTTTTTCTAACTAAATTTAAAACTATTTTAATTAAAATTTCTCTAAAATTTAAAAGCTTTCAGTTTAGGTGTAATTGACTGAATATTAAAACTTCGACGCCATCTATCAGATAAATTAAAAATTTTACAGGAACACTTCTCAAGATCCGTGGAACATTCATATGTTTTAATTTTGTTCCCATTAAGTCCTGTACACAGAGGAAAAAAACCGGTTTAAAAGTACCGAAATTGATACAATCCAGCTTACCTCGAGCTTACCTCGTTTGTTAACATTTAGACAACGGATGTGTATAAAATTTAAATAACACCCAGTTATCATTTTGACAATAACCGTTTTAATTTTGACCATGCATCGTTGTCATTGCAACAACGCAATGTAGTCTTTCGATTACACATCGTTGCTTTTTCGACAACGAATCGTTGTCATTTTGACAACGCAACGTTCTATTTAACAACACACAACACTTTGGTAACTCATTATTATATTTTTGTTGATTTGATAACGTCGTGTATTTTTTATATTTTTGATGTTGGTTTGACAACTATCCGTACATACTTTGGCAATGGTTGTTATTGAAAAATTATAAACACTTCCGTGTCAATTTGGTACCACGCGTGTATAATTTTAACACGTTTTTTCGCTCTGTGTAGTTTCTAAGTTTATCGATTACAAACAAACATTACATTTTTATTTATATCGATTTCTGTAATCAGCTATTCGTTATCTGCATAGATCAAAACAAATAGAAGTCGGAAAGGGCATAGTCTGAACTTAAGGCGGGTACCGCAAAACTTCCCAACCACTTTTTTTAAATAGTTTTTAACATTAATTGCAACATGTGGCCGAGATTTGTCATGATGTCCGCATATTCTGGATGTTTTTTTTCGGCCAATGCTCCCATCAAACGAATCAGTTGCAGATGACCTGACCAAACCTGTGATGGTGTTTCCAGATTTTCTCAGCTCATAATAGATAGTATCATTGTAGTCGCACCAAATAGTAAGCATTAGCAGATATTTGGCTTTGATTTCAATCGGGCTGGTTGGCCGGATTTATTACATTCAGGCCATTATGCAGGTAATGATTAGGTACAGAAATTAGTTTCTTTTATAGCTTTCAAGTAGCATTTCGGAAATGCAAAATCGGTTTTCGAGGTATCTCGGTTTTTATTCGTATGGTTTCCCAGATTTTGGATGAATCTTGGAGTTGATGATGTTTGAAGTTGTTAATCTTGATAAGACCATCCTCGTAAATACTAAACATCAAAATAGCAAGATTTAAACAATCTGAAGAGCACTAAAATACTAAGTTTACTTTGAAAAATTCCCGAGTGTGCTAGTTTCAGTTTTTCATCCGTCAGGGTAAACATTGTTCCGAAGAACAGTGATTGCAGACCAATCATTTCTTGTTGACCCGGAAAGTTTTGTAAAAGTTTGAAGTACTAGATACTATGTAATCGCTCTATTTTCCAAATCTTGGACTAACTGAGCTTTTAAAGGGTCTTTAGACAAACTTTAAGCAATATTATTGAAAATATATGAAATTACTTTAACAGCTTTCCTTCTACATTCCAAATTCTATACTACAGCGTATTTTTTGTATAATCTCTGCTATTTTTCTGACCATATCTGTGTGTGTATATGTATAAAATACATATGTAATTTTTCTAAGTATTTAATTTAAAATTAGTTTTTAATAATTTTATTAATATAAGTAAATAAATTAAAATCAAATCATTAACATATAATAGAAAAAAAAAGAAATGTAATTTTAAGGCATGTTTAACAAAACAGCAAAATGTGTTTTTAACATAAAATCGAAACAAATGAATTATTTAAAAAGAAAAATATTATTATGTATTATTGTATTGTATGTTTATTTTGAGCATAAAAATTCTAATTGTTGTCTATTCTTTATGTTTTTTATTTTATTTATAAAAAATTTTAATTTACCTTTCTGTTGTTGTCTCTAATTACTAAATGTACTTAGTTAGTTAGTTAGTTAGTTTGAAAGGAGGATGTATATACATCAAATCCGAAGAAATACACCTAGGCCTCTATCGGGCCTGTTGTGCGCTCCTTAACCAGTGCCTCAGGTGGGAATCGAACCCACCACCTCCGGTCTACCAGACTAGAACACTAACCACTAACCTACCGGAGGCCACACTAAATGTACTTAATTTAACAAATGTATTTTCAGTTTATGTAATTTAAAAAAAAAATAAGCAAAAACTAAAAGCTGTTTTTTTGAATTTTGTTGCAAATTGTGTTTGTAAATAATTTTTAAACTAAAAACTAATAATAATAAATTATAAATAAATGTGAGCTTTCTAACACTTTCGTTTTCTTTTGTGTTGTTTTTTTATGTTTAAATGTACAATTATCTATTTTCTTGTAATATTGAAATTTTAAATAAATTGGTAATTTGTTTTTATAAAAAAAATGACCACAAAATAAAAATTGAGTTTTGTACTTTATTTTTCATATAAACATGCTTTTTCTTGATTTCACTTGATACAAAAATAAACCTACAACAAAAACAATAACAAATTGATGTGGTAATCAGAAATCAAATATTTTTTTACTAATAATAGAATATAACTGGTGGGTACTACTAATAAATTTTTACCAAAAAAAATTCTTATTCTTCTTAATAAATTTAAAATTTTGTTAAATTTTCCTTCCATTTTCCCCGTTTTAATCTACTTCAAATTGTATGCAAATCTATGTGCTTTATTTAACATTACTGTGAATGCTAATTTTATTTATTAAACTAATTCACAATATAATTTGTAAAATTATATTGTGAGTTAGACGATTTATAAACTAATTTCCTAGTTTCTTAATCATTATTATTAATATTTTATTAATTGGTTTCTTTAAGGACTTGTTAAATATTACTATCAATTCAAATTGATATTTTATTGTTAAGTTATTTTTAAACAGTTTTTAAGTATGTATTTATATATATTTACTACTATTTATTACTATTATTTATGTGTATGTAGTTTATTCAATATTCTTTTAATCTTACTACTTTTTGAACATTTCATTCCGAGCGTGACGGTTTATGGGGACAGCAAAACTATTTGTCCTTAATTGCTTAATGGTGGACTTAATTTAGATAGTCAGAATACAATTTCCTTCACATTTTATTATAAACGGATCAAGGCTTCAACTAGCTTCCATTTTTATCTTTAATTTATTTAAGCCTATTTAAAATGGATTTCACGGCCATCTTTTAAGGCCAAAAACGAGCTAAACGAATTTCTTATAACCTGTTCTGTTAATTGCAAGCATTTCTATTCTATTGGTTTCAATTCATTTGATAACCAATTTCCCCGCTTTTGTGCTTTTGAATAAATCCTGTGCTCGCAACCGTTTCAAAATTGTTGCTTGAACAGCGAACATCTTCCAATTTCCTCCATCTTTGTCTTCCGTGTCCAAAATATCATTTCTGAACTACAGAAACCATTAAACCCGAACAAATTCAACATCCACATCAGTGAGCAATACAGTCAAGTGTCGAGTTCTTAACGTGAACACCTGCAGTGTTGGCCTTTTTCACGGTGGTCACTTTCAACCACTGGATGAGCTTCTGTGACGACTCACCACCGTCCATTATGTTTCTTACACTCAGGTGGCAATTCTCGTATATGGAATGCATGGTCCAGTATATGTGCGCTTTGCTGAAGTACTCGAGCTATCCAATCTCTTGCCAAGTGATCACGTTGCAAAAAGACGGGTATCAAGCTATACCAATAAGCTGAGAAGCTCCAATTGAATCGATAGAGAGGGATTAACGAAAACCCCAACATCGCATCTGCTGAATCCGTAATCTCGAGAAAGACTCCGAGATGGACCAACAATTATATGCATAGTCATGAGCAACGCCGTAGCATCGTCATCCTCTTACGATCCGCTCAGAGACATAGAGACCTAGAGACATATGTGGTAATCCAAAATACCCAGAATAATGGATCAGGATCCCTCTATATGAACCGATCTATGTGACAAAGGATGTAGGAATTTCTAAAGTCCACTGTAGCCAATAACAGCACCGAGAACTTCCCCGAAGCGTAAAAATGCAAACTAATCTCCAATATATGGAGACTTTCCCGATCTTTCACCAATTTTTGCATCAGTTCTATTCCCATGATCAAAAACATCTCTCTAAGCAATGACAGGCAACCACTGAACTCTAACCTGACAATTTCCCAGCATATATCAGCGCCGCACTATACGACCGGTAAGAAATACCTATCGGGTTCATGAATCCAGCATTTCGAGGGACTATATTCTATAGTCTCTATCTGTCATTTTCATGAAAATAAGATTTTGATGGCAAAATATCCAGCAAAATATTCCGCATCAGTGACATAAATTTCAAAAGAAAAAAATATTGTTTTTAGAAGTTTTATAGCAATTTTTAAATTT